CATGAGGAAAGCAGCAGAAGGATGGGCGGCAGGAGAAGCAAACGGCGAGGACCCGATGGCATGGACCATGGCAACTGGAGCCAAAACACATTTCCCAAACGAGGGCAAACGGTGGAAGATGCACATGCCACAGGGCCTTGTGCTCGTCAGGGGCGCGCTAGAGTGCCAAGGGCTGTCTGGCAGGGTTTCTGCAAATCTTCTCAGGGGCTGCCGCCGCCCCTCGCCGCAGAGCGCCGCATGCATCGGGCCCCGCTTCCCCAGTGAAAAACAACAAGTATTCACTCCCGTAGCAAGGATCCTCCGTGGAAGTACATCAGGTCCACGCTCTCGCGGCAACGATTCATCGCACATTTGCCTGGAGATGGCCCTCACCATATGCAGTTGTGGGTTCCGCAATTGTGAATATTTCATCTTCGATGGAGCTCCACACGGGTCCACGAAGCGCTGTCCTGGGTGGGGGGACCGCATGCGAATGCAGCCACCGGCCTTCGGTGGAGCTCCCAATCGAGCCGAGAAACGCGGCCCTGGGCATGGGAACCGCATGCGAGTGCAGCCATTGGGGCCTTGGGTGGAGCTCCCTACGGGGCCACGAATCGCTGTCCTGGGTGGGGGGGACCGCATCCGAGTACAGCCACCAGGGCCTTCGGTGGAATCCCCGTTTGAGCCGAAAAACTGGGTCCTGGGCGGGGGGACCACATGCGAGTGCAGCCACTTGGCCTTCGATGGAGTTTCCGATTGAGCCGAGAAACGCGACCCTGGGCGGAGGGGACCGCATGCGAGTGCAGCCACTGGGGCCTCGTCGGAGCTCCCGACGGGGCCACGAAGCGCTGTCCTGGGCGGAGGGAGCCGCATGCATTCCCGGCCACATGGGTCTTCGGCGGAACTCCCGATGAGGTCACGAAACGCTGGCGTGAGTGCTGGAACCGCATGCGAGTGCAGCCACTTGGCCTTCTGCGGGGCTCCCCATGGGCCACGAAGCGATGTCCTGGGTCGGATGTCCGCATGCTGGTGCAGCCACCGGAACCTTCGGTGGGGCCACGTAGCGCTGTCCTGGGTGGTGGAACCGCATGCGAATGCAGCCACCAGGGCCTTCGGTGGGGCTCCCCATGGGGCCACGAAGTGCGGTCGTGGGTGGGGACGCGCCTGCGAATGCAGCCACTGCGGCTTTCGGCGGAGCTCCCGACGGGGCCACGAAATGAGATCCTGGGCGGAGGGGATCGCATGCGAGTGCAGCCGCTCGGGCTCTGGGTGGAGCTCCTTTTTCGGGATACGGAACGCCAGCCGTAGCGGGGGGACCCCATGCTACTGCAGCCGTTGGGGCTCTCGGTAGCAACCCCCATGGCTCCACGAAGCGCAGTCCTGGTTGGGGGAGCCGCATACGAGTGCAGCCACTGGGGCCTTCGGCGGAGAGCCCTACAGAGCCCTGAAACGTTGTCCTGTGTGCGGGAGACGCATGGTGGAAAAGGGAGGAGGGAAAAGGGGGCGAGGAGGTGAGGAGAAAGGAACGCGGGGCACTCTCTTCGAAACGAGGACCTAACACCACAAGATGGTTGAGAGAGGCGACGCTGGCGACGAACAAATTGGGGGATGGCCTCCAAAACCGCTTCCAAACTCGGGCATTCCGAAAACATATGCCCCTTGACCCAAAGCAAAGAAGATATTGACCCCGCCGGTCTCGTTCCAATACGCACAATCGCAATGGGTGCCAAGACGTAGAAAAGGAAACGCAGATAAACATGCGCCCAGGCCCCAACCGCTTCAGTCACACGCAAAGCCAACCCAGAGCGACACCGAGGCGTTTTCAAACTGCCGCATGGGCGAAACTTACAAGGAACATTTCACATGCGCAGGCCGCCTTCCGAGAAGCAAAAAGACGATCTCGCACCAGCAAACGCGCTCAACTTTCGCCCCCCCGTTGACGCCACCCCCAAGTGAAGCTGAAGGACCATATCATCATCATCATCCTCATCACCATCATCCCCATCATAACCATCATCCTCCTCACCGTCCTTCTATCCCCATTTCCCACTCGTTCCATTTCCCCCCCCCCTCCCTTGTCCTCGTTAATCGGTTCCTGTGTTGTCTGCTTTCCTCCTCCTCCTCCTCTTTCTCCTCCTCCTCCTCATCTGCCTCCTCCTCGTCCTCATGATGATGATGATGATGATCATCATCATCATCACCATCATCATCATTATCATCATCACCACGAACATCCCCATCATCAGCAACAGCAATACCCACAGCATCCTCGCCATCACCACCATCACCGTCATTACCACAACCACCACCATTACCATCAACATCATCATCACCATCACCATCGTCATCAGCACCACCATTAGCATCACCATCACTATCACGACCACCATCACCATTACATCATCAATATCAGCACCATCATCATTATCATCATCGTAAGCACCGCCATCGCATCATCAGCAACAACATCATCATCATCATCAACATGCTTGCCATCGTCATTGTCATCTTAATCTGCATC